CCGGAATCAATACATAGTTATAGAAAGGAAGTGATTTTATGACAATGATGCATTTAGCGGTTTCATCTTTACCTACAATCCATAGAGAACCCTGTCGTAAATTTGAATGCAATAAAGTTCTCAGTGAATTATTTAGCATGAATGCAATTTCTTTTCATGTGCGTATATCAAATTTTATGATATTGAAAGAACAGTCAAGTTGGTATAATTCCCATGGATTTTGTTGCCAGTAAAAGAGATTTTATTGCCTGCTGCTTGGGAATAGGATCCAACTCTAGCTGATCAATACTGTCAGACAGTTTGAAGGGGATCACTCGCAAATCCCCCATTCTATCAAAGCAGCCGAGCTGACTGAAAGTGTGTCATGGGAAGAGCACATGTCCAACAAATCCTATTCCTTGTAAGGTTTAGATGGCTGGCATGTACTGTATGTGCATACAAATCCAAAAAACATGACCTACTTTGTGTTATTGGGATAAAATCTGCATGTACAAAGCCAGTGAAGGAAACATCTATAATTACAGAAGGAAAACATATTGTTTTGCTCCGTTTCATGTTCCTCTTCTTCTTCTTCTTCTCCAAACAAACAAGGACAATGACCTGAACCTGATGTCTGTTTACCATGGCAACTAGTATTTGGTTATGTTGCAATTTTATAGCAGTAGGGATTTATTAAACTCCTGTCTCAACTTATATATGAATGTGTTTGGTAGGTAAACATTATGCATTTGCTTTGCAAATGTTTCTAGTTCTATCCTTATTATTCTGTGCTGCTGACAAATTTGTTGCCAAAATACTACCCCAGTAGGGAGACTGTTAACCTAAGTGGCACCAAAAGGATCACATGTTGTATGTATGTATGTATGTAACTTATCAACTTGGTATGATAGTGTTGCTCTCCATAGCCATGAACAATGAGTGAAAATTCGTTCCCCCAACCTTTGGTGCCCATCACTCCGGGACTGTGTCTGAATGTCAAACTTGTAAGCCCAATTTAGAAACCTATTGCAGTTTCCCGAATGATGGACGCACAGACAGGACATTAGAAATACCCGCTGTGTCTAAGCCAGTTGTGGAAATCCCCGTTCAGTCATTACCATTAGTTGCATCCAGGCTTAAGTGAAAATCGAACAAGCCATGATAGCGGGCTAAACTTCATAACTTGACCTGCCAGGAATAACTTTTCCACAGCTGCCAAATGAGAAACTTAAAAAGAAAAAATTTTGCATAAAGTACTGGTTTTAATTAAAGCTTGCAAAGAAAACAATCTGCTGACAATGTTTTCTTTTACTTTTTGAATACTGTTCATGGATAGAATATGACATTTTTTTAGCATCATGTAAGATGAACTAAGAAAGGCTTTGGATCTCTTTGTATTTCACACTTTTCTTCAATATTTGACACAATCACAACATGTAGTTTGATGTCAGACTTCACTTGAATTATTTGTGTAGTCAAGCTCTCATGAGATGTATTTTCTACAAAGGAAAAAATCAACACTGGGAAAAGAGTAAGATACAAGCAAAGGTACAATGGTGGCATACTAGCCTGAGTTCCAGGTTGTTAGATGTAATCTGCTCTCACTGATGGTAGGGTAACGATCATTGGAAATGGACTAAAGCTAACAAGGTTGGCATCCAGGCTACTTGTGGCCTCTGTCTCGGCATCATCTGAAAAACAGCTAATACATGTGACATTACATGCAAGTCATGCAGCAACTGTGTCATATTTCCTAGGTTATCTTGTTGCCTTAACTTTGGCTTTATGACAATTGATTCTTTATTGTATTTTCTCCTCAATAGGGCGTTTAATGTACCCTTAGTTCTCAAGGGCATTGAAACATAACGTCTTGTATTGTTTAAACCTCCCTTTTGCGCCGTAACATACAGGGATATATGGATACAAATGGCAGAAGAAATCGATAAAGTTAGCTTAATTTTACAACATGAATTCTCCACCTCCTGTTAAAAGTGTGTAACTGCATTTTGAGTTGTGGCAAATCGATCGTAAGGCCGTTTTGTAACTGGATACCTCAGATTTAGTGACTTATTAGGCAGTGAAAAAGCGTTTAGTACAGATCTCTGTCAGTGCAAAATCAATGTGGAAATCTCTATATCGATGTAAACATTAATATTGTCAACAAGAACTATTGATGATGACCTATGATAGTTTAGATGTCATAATCTCAATGATGTTGACATATTTTTACTTCTTTAAGTCCTAATTGCCTTAGGAAAGGGTCATATTATATTCTTTGTAAAGGCTCAGGTTTCAAAGAACCAATAGCCTAAGTCTAGAAAAAATCCAATATCTTGAGGACAATGAAACCATGATTGACAAAAAATCATTCTGAGATTTTCTTGTCAGTCCCTTCTAACGATGTGTTTGAGTCAAGGAAATGAAATTCTGCCTCTGGGCCTGATTTATCTAAAGCAATAAAAGAAATTCTGCTGAAATCAGAATTCTTGCCATTATTCTAACCTAATGGCCATGTTAAGCTGTTAATTCTCTTGCTAATGATGCGTGCCATCGCTGTGCACATTTTTCACGATGCGTACCATTTGCGTGCACGTTTCTTACGCCGCATGCAGTTTCCGAGCACATCTTTCACAAAATCAGACAGGCTTGGTAGAACGATTCTGCCCGACTCTGCAAAACTCACTTTTGTTGAGTGACAAAGATCCATGAGTTGTCTCATCTACTAAGGTTGAGTTATTAGAGAAAATGCATTTGTCAGTAAAGTTTTTTCATAGGTAATGGCAATGGATGGTCGGAGCACTTTCCAATACCCTTGTGTGTTCTTGTAAGTCTAGAGAAGGCAGGAAATTGGATGCCTAATGCAGAGGAAGTGATTGATAAGATAATTGAAATCTACTGGAATTTAAGTATTCAGCCATTGCACTACATAATGAAGAACTTCGCAGGTAAAGTGTGCTACTTTATAGACCTTCAGGGCAGTAATTTGTAAATTGGAGTGAAAGGAAATTCAATCATTGTGTGAACTGCAGGGTTTGGTCTTCCTGTTTTTTTAGTGTTACAAACTATCATATACATGTACGTATGTGTACTTGTTATTAAATGCTGTTTGAATCAAATACATTAGAATCCTGTTTACAAATTTTAATTGAATGTACTCCTAGCTTTAACCTTCTTCCTGCTGCCATTTCTTTCACCATACAAGTTTACCAGTACAGTTAACAAAAAGCTACCTCAGTAGGTAGGAGGTTAAAAAAAATCTACCGGTATTATCCTTCATCTACAACTGACATGTTGGTCCTGACAGTCTTTTACAAAAGCAGTGATCAAATCAGATGAGGAAATCTCTTGGAGACATCCCTCCAGCTATGTTCACAGATCCATCATCCACAGAAATCGTGCCATCCAAAAATCCTTCCTCCGTGGTATTGATTCAAAAGTACTGATGTAAAGTGCATCAGGCAAAATGCCTGTAGGGTGAATCTGATACGTTACACAATATATATGTGTCTCAAGTTCGCAAATAAATGGACAGGGTTGCCTGCAGCTAGTGATGCTATCAGTGGTAGATTTATTGCTCAACAATTCTGAAACATCACGAGATTCACTTTTACGGGACGGTATTACAGAAGTCATACCCGTTTTCTTTTAAATCTGTTGGAAGTTTTTTAATGGCTTAGGGATTTGTCATGAATCCTGGATTTGGTACTCTGTGAATAGAGAATCTTCAGCAAATAACTTTTAAGTGCCAGCCCATACCTTGGGAGTTGCATGGATTGTTCTTACACTTGCACAATGTTGTAGTTGTACTTGTTCTTAAGTTATTGTATTTGCTAGTCAAGGTACCTGAGGGAATTTGGCATGATAGGGTGGAAAATAAAAGAACTTTTTGATAAAGAGGTATTCTGTGAACAGAGAATCATCAGCAAATCACATTAAGTGCCAACCCATAAGTTGGGAGTTGCATGAATTGTTCTTTCACTTGCTCGATGTATACTGTGTAGTTGTTCTTGAGTTATTGTATTTGTCAGTCAGGCTACCTGAGGGAATTTGGCATGAATGGGTTGGAAATAAAAGAACATTTTGATAAGGAGATTGTACCATGACTAATGAAGTTTTCTGCAGCTGAAGACGTTAGACAAAACTCTCTCAAGACCCTAATGTATTCTATTGATCCCAAGATTCAATTACGCCCGTAAAATGCCAGGATGCACTTTAACGTGCTGTTCCTTGGAGAATATACAACTCTGTGTTTTATCACAGCAGGGATGAGTAACCTACAAGTTTGCTTCTCCTCATCATCAGATACTTTGTGGGGGCAGTTTTATTAGAAACTAACTGGGAGATGAGTAGAGTATAGAGGGAAGACTCGATTTTCCTTTGTCCGCACAGAGTAAAGCTGTGAATGCTCTAAGGGCTATTGTTATGCAAATTTCAAAATCCCTGTGAATAACCATTAGAATTGATTTGGTACAGCGCTCCACAAGTGTAATTCCCTTTGAGTAAGATAAGATCTTTCAATGAAAAGGCACATTGTCTTCACAGCAACACTTTCAGCACCATGGACAGGACAGCAAGTTTTGAAAGTTATGCAACTTGCCTCCTGACAGATAAAGATCGACTGCTAGGCCATGTTTTGAATAACAATGTGTAGTATACACTTTATATGTACATATGAACAGTGTGATTGTTTGATTATGTTTACCGAAGGAAAACATATTGGTTTTGCTCAGTTTCGTCTTCCGTTCCAAATACTGACCTGGTCAGTGACCTGAACCAGACCGCATATCACCATGGTAACTAGTATCGGGTTATATCATGTTGCAATTTTATAGCAGGAGGGATTTAGACTCCTGTCTGACCATATCTATGTCATTGAATATGTTAGAATTAAGAGTAAGAATTAACAGAGCAGACCATATGCAAAGGTAAACATAATGCATTTGCCTTGCAAATATTACCTTTCTAGTAGATTGATTGATTTATTAATTGATTGATTGACTAAACTTTTTTCATTGATCCAGGATGATGAGGAGCCCCATGGAGAAGAGTACACCCCCGATGGAGGATACATTCCCAGGATCCTTTTCATGGGTAAGTCTTGACAGGACAGCACTACACTCAAACAGACAGTTCTATACAGCACTACACTCAAACAGACAGTTCTATACAGCACGGAACCAGATACCCTGCATAAAAGCTACATCCCCAATTTGTCCTTATCTAAAACTGACACTTTGAATTTGAAAGTCAATTAATACAGTGTCAGTATGAAAGGCCCAACTCTACTGTTAACATGTTACGACAGAAAGGGAGATCAAATCATGATATAGAGGGAAGTATGCCCTTTCAGTAGACTGTATTCAGCAAGAATTTGAACTGTAGTGTTTCAAGTTTATTAGATTTTCCAAATTCCAATTGTCTTTGTGAATCTAACATAGCTTGTGTTGTATGATTGTTGTCATTGTGATTATAAGCCTACATGAGGGAGGGTTCCTGTCATCCTAAAACTTGTCATCACTGCTTGAATACCATGACTTTATCTGTAACTGAAACAGTAGGCTCTGTTTTCAAAATGTCCTTGACCGATCTCTCTGGCGTCCTTCCAAACGTGACTTTTGTTCATTCGTCAGTGACAGGCTTGCTTAATTTTGAATGTAAATGGGCGTAGAGAAGACAGGTTAGCTGTTTTGACCCCTCCAGCTTGCAAAAATTTTGAAGATTTGAAAAAAAGTATCTAGATTTTTACCATCGCAAGATTTTGATATTTAAAAATAATGAAGATAATGCTTTCAATTAAATTGCTAGACTAGAGGTTTATCTACATGTATAATCATTATCTAACTTGTCTCGGCATCATTGCTGCTTTTATATCAACCTTTTATATGACTATAGTAGCTGGTTATTTGCTTGAAAATTGCTTTTCTAACTACAGAGTTACAAAGTACAGGAATGAAAGGAAAGTCCTTGGTTGTTTTGTGACATATAGAGGGATAATGTTAAGCTGATGAGTATCAATAAATAAAATTGAGCTGTGATGGATTTATCCCATGTTAATGCAAGGTTGTTGGTATTTATTGATGTCTTGCCAAAATGCAGGCCTCAAAATTATTGCAGTGATGTTCACATTCCCTTCTCCATTGATTTACTGTATCCCATTTGTTCCATTTGCCTCCTAATGGTTATTGAATTCAAGACGCCTTCCAAAGGAAATTGCGGTACCGGCTGGAATTAGGGAGACTTAAAGATTTTCCCTATTTTTTTCTTGAAGAATAGCCTTCATTTGTGGCTATTTTCGCAGCAAGACTGGTGAGAGAAAGGGTCGATATGTGTGCATTGATTACTGGGAAACAAGAGGCTTAATGTTATGGCCCCATCAATAATAATTTTCCTTCTTGAAAGAAAGTCTGTCGCCTGTGGTTAGGTTTTTCCTGCAGCATGCAGAACTATTTAAAGAATAGCAAAGGAAGGTCAAAGTAGAAGCTGCCATAGAATGCCAACTCTGAACCACTGTTCATTTGAGTTGGTAACAATACATTTACCGCCATGGGTACATCTCCAAAGAACTTTGATTGTCCAAAATTCACATAATCAGAGTATACGAGGCATCTATATGTCATTGACAGATTCAAAGTCTATGGTATCTGCAGTTTACTCCTCCTTTTTTTGTAATCACAAGACGTGGTGGGGATACACTCAAGTTTTTTCAACTTATATTAATGCTGCCACCAACACAGGGGACAATACACTACTCATTTTCACCTGAGCAAAGTGAGGAAAGTCATGTAAAGTGGCTTTCCCAAGGGCACAAGATCGGTGTCAATTTTGTCAAGACTCAAACCTGGGACCTCTTGGTTCCGAGGCAAGCATTCTGCCGTTGTGCCACGCGACCCCTTGTCTTGCACTTGTCTAGTCCTTTTCAGTTTGTCGACAACCTCTAGTTTGAGTTATTAGTTGAACTTTATTGTAATCAAGAAATACCGTAATCTATTTTGGTAGACAAAATCTTGTAACATTTTGAACTTCGGATTCAACAGAAAGAAAAGTCCCTCAGCATACAAATTTTCAACAGTCACTCTGGTCTTCATCTATTACCTGACCCACTAACTTCTGACATGTACAATGTACATGCCTCTGGAAACATGATGCCAGGAGGGAGCAAAGGGTGTCTCAAAAATTTTAGTGCATTTTCTTGTATGCCCCAATACCTGCAATATTACTGAGTGTCAGCCATTATAGTTTTAGTATTCAATTCCATGCCTGCTGCCAGTCTTGACTCTTCCTTGAAGTCATACTTTAGAAAGGGTTCATGGCCTTCCTCGTGACTCCTCTTAAGGGAAGGACATAAGTGTCCCCAAGGTCAACATCTTCCTTCGTCTTCAATCTACCCTGACAATGCTTATGATGGGCGCTAAAATGGAGCCAGAAGTCCCGAAATCATTTGGCCAGTTGCCACAGATGATATATGTATAGTGCTGTGTACTGGTTCGCTGGACCAGTTCCAGACTTGTAAAAATGTTTAGGTCCAAGTAAAAAAAACTAAAAGGCAAGAACCAGTTCTGGACTAATTACAAAAAAAAAAAACATATCACATACCCCTTTCCATTCCAAACCACCTAAAATCTTTCATACATTGTAGATTGCAAAATCTGTGCTGTAAAATAGAGAAATAGGGCATCATCAAGTGTCAGCCTCCGTGTTATGTGGCCACAGTTTTGCCCAGACAACATTGCAAGGTTGCCAACATATATTTACATGCAATCTTGTATATGCCATGGGGTCTGGACTTACAAGTCCGGAACTGAACCTAAACCTCTCAACTTGAATCCGGCCCTGAACCTAAACGTGGGTTTAGGTACACAGCGTGTATGTTGGATTCAAACTGTGGCTTACTTTACACTTCAGAAATGGACTTAACTTTGAACATGTATTTGTAGTCCCCATCAAGGCTTACCCATAATGGAACTACAAGACTTAAACCTTTTTTTCTGCTAAGGTAACATTTTGATACCAAATTTGTATTGGGTACAGAAGTGTATAAAGCCAGAAGAAGGTTAATAAAATGTACATCAAGTGCAGGTGCACCTTTGGTAGGTCTAGGTTGATTTGTGTTAGCTAGATGAAAGTTTAGCTCTGCTACAATATTAAATGAGCTTTCACTCTAATATGAATGATGATTTTCATAATGGAATTACTTGCTGTAATTATAGTGATATAGAATTGTGCATATCTTTTAATCCAATTGCAGTTATGTAGAAAAATTTTAACAAGAAATTATGGTTAAGCTATGCTGCCATGACTTAGTCCCAGAATTTTTAATGCAAGGATTTAGATACAAGTCAGGAGAAAGCAAAGGTCTGGCAGGAAACTTTGTAAGCATATTATCTGATATATTCACTCCCTGAATCTGCCTGTAGCTGTTGACAAAGGCACAGACTTCAACTCAGATTCTGTGTTCACATTGTTCTCGCAGTTCTTTTTTTTTTGCTGGCTGAAACAAAAGTTTGGCATCGTAGCTTCTTCAACCCCTCAGTTTAGATTGATGGTGCTCCCCCAACAATGTAATCTAGGCTTTGTTCATTCGGCACGAGAAACAATACCTAAGTTCACGGCCTAAAACCCAAAGGTGACTCCGAGCCCACTCATTCAAGGAATCTGCAAATATGACTGAGTTGTGCTGCTGTGCCAAAGCCATTCGTCCTCATGCATCATTTACTAGTCGGCCTTCTGCCAAACCAGAAACTATGTTCTGTCCAAGAATCCCAACTCTGAGGGTATTTTTTTCACAGTTTATATGATCTAGAATTTCATAACTGCCAAGGGAACGATAGATGAAATGATCGAAGGTGGGGAAATTGAGCAATTTTAGTGGTATTGCATTCCTGAGTGTTGCACGCAATATTAGGATGGCAGCCAATTGGGTTCTCCTAAACCAGTATTAGGCTATAAAAAAGATCAAAGTTCTGCACATCAAAGAGTAATTCGTCATAACGTTTCTTTACTTTGGGAATGAAACTTTCCATCATATATTCTAATGATGAACAGCAGCTGCCTTATAATATGCATGTACATGTACCTTATTCTGTTCAACAGAAGTTTTTGTGATCTTGAATCCAATCAAAACTTTTTAAAACTGTGGTCACCTTCTCCCCTCATCACAGATGACATGTTCTTCTGAGGATTACATTAGTTTCAGATCCAATTTCTGGCTGTCAGGTGAAGAATTATGCCGTCAAGATGCCCCAGACTTGAGATGTCCTTCTGTGCCACCAGAGGGACAGTTAATAAATGGTCCCAGCAACATGACGAATACATTATACATTATGCACATCCTTCAGTGTCAGTAACTTTGGTAGGCTTGTCGGCCTAGTCAAAAGTGAAACCTGGCAAGTCACCAAACTACTCCTTTATCTTCTTGCCAAAACTTCCTTGGAACCTGTGTGTATTAAGGGTTTTTACGTGGCATCTTAAAGCCCCTAATACCCATGTACAACTTACAATTGGCAAAATAATTTCATAGATTGCAGGTACTAGCTCTTAAATACCATATAAAAGCCTTTACTACAGGTAGGTTGCTAATCAAAGTTGCAATTTAGTGTAGTGTGGTAGATTCAGCTCATCAACAGCATATATGAAACCTCATGTTATAGTGGTGCAATTACCTTTGCCAGAAGGGTATATTTTCGATAGCTCTCTGAATGGATCGTCATGAAACTTGATAGGTGGGTAGGTCTTGATAAGACCTCAAAATAATTAGATTTTAGGCCCCCTGGCAGCACAATATGTTGACTTGCTGAAAGTTCTTCTAAGTTGGAGTTGGAACTTGAAAACTTGCGGGAAATAGACAAAGGGCATTTCGATCCCTGTATTACCATACGTGGCAGTCATCCAATACATTTCATCCAACTCCTACTTGTTGCGTGGAAGGGGCCAGACATGATCAATAGCATCTGGCTGCTTACTTTTAATAGACTCTCACATCAAGCCGGCCATTTTGACATCTCTTATGAAATTTTCAGCAAAGTCATTTGAAATCTCAGCCGCGTGTGTGATTATCTGTCTGCCCTGTCCAGACTCATTTCAGAGACTTAATCTGCAGCTGGTGATCCTTAAACCCTATCAGACCTTTCCCTATTGTGGAGGAGACTTTGACAGGCAGGCAGAGATTGGACTCGAGCCAAATTGGAAATCGTATTTCCCGTGATCAGGGCAGCAAAAACATAAGAAACACCCAGCTATGGGTGTGAGCTTGTAGCTGCACAGAGTCTAACAAAGCATTGGGGATTTAAATGTGGTAATTTGTATAACACATTAACCCCAGGTTCAATGGTGAATATTGAAATAAATGTTATGATCATGAATGCTTGGTAAGACAGACAAAAAGTAACTGATCTAACTGTGGCCATGGAGAGAGGGCCAACAATGACCACATGAGGGTTTAGATTGAACGAAGAACATAGTATTAAAAGACTAATTATAAGTCTGCACAAGTTTAAAGTTTCAGCAGAACTTTCTAAAGCTTGTCCTGTGTCTTTTCAACAATTATAAAACTTTATCTCTAGTACTATATCCACCTTTTTATCAACTTAATCTAGTACATTGTATTTGTATACCATCTCTTTCCTCAATTCCTCTGGAAAGTCCTAATAGGAGACTCAGTATGTTCCTTCTCTGTAGCTGACATCCTAAACAGCACCGTTGGTACATGTAATGCTACATTAAATGATCTTTCAGTCATGCACAATATACTGCATGGCATAAATAGTGTATGCACACATCACTTCAATGGCTCTACATTTTACCCCATGGATTAGCACAGTATTGAGAAAGTCTCTGTATTTACATCAGATTGAGTTCTAACTTGTACAACATTGTTGCTGACATTTAATGGTTCCATCCCAAGGGAGATGTAAGCAAATCTAATTTGGGTGCCTCGAAAGATTTAATTCCTTTATAATTTGTTTCTTAAGTCAGAGTTCAATAGCTTTGGCATGAAATTCTATTAATACAGTATACTTACATAAAGTTTGTAGGTGCATAATCAAATTTACTTCTCATGGTTCATACAGATTGAGTGATCTCTGGTGAATATTTAGTATACTTGCAGTGCATGAATCCTTCAGACAAGGCCCTAGGGAACACAATGGCCTTGTTGTAGGGACACTGTGAAAAACAATGACCAATTTTGAATCCATCAATTTCAATTTCTGATATTTGGGACTACACATAGATGTACATTATAGAAAATGTACATGGACCAGGCTGTTAGGGTCCTTCTATGCCCTCAGGGGAAGTCCAAAAATGTTAAAACATCTATACTCATATCTTCTTGTCCTGTGACAGTTCTGTTTGAAAGTTCAGAGTGTTCGTCACGAAAAGTACCAAAGCCTCGGTAAGTCACTAGCCTGTGTCCAGAAACCGGCATATAACCATATATCATGATCATACTATTAGGATATGGCAGCCTTCTCGCTAACACTGTATCCCCCTAGTCATGCCCCTTGGTGAGGATTTTGTCTGTGTTTCTTTTGCTCAAAGGGAAAATGAAATGGTGTTTGTATACATGCAGCATATCTTTGCTCTGATACACGCTACATATTTGAAAGCCTCCTCAGGGCAAATACACAAGAACGGCCACTAAGTCATGTCCAAATGTGAAGCCTATGGATCATAGTTGCCTCTTGAGTTAAAGTTTAAGATAAAACTTTCAAAAGAAATGTACTAGACTAAGCAGGCTACATCATATTTCACTTAAAAACTATCTATATCTTCCAAAAGTCATCAGAACAAAGTGTTGCGTGCTCATATTGCAATCTGAGATAATTTCCTTATCTTTATGCATCTTAATGAAGTGTCTTGTATGCTGTGTGGCTAGGTTTCTTATGGCACTTTCTTATCTGAGTGTGTGTTTTGTCCTTATTGGTTCCCATCTTGTAAATGGATGTACCGCCCAGGTTGCTCCGAGCCACGAGATCTAATAACTGATTGGACAGTTCATATTGTGCCAAGGAGAAGTTAACAACACTTTTGTCTGCAGGACTTGCTCTTAAGTTTAGAATGATGGATTTTTTGCCTTGAAGTGTTTCATGTTTCTTTAAGTAATTAAGTAAGTGTGTTTTATGACTGATGTGTCTTATTGTTATCATCTATCTTAAAGTGTATAGCTGTATCATGAAAGTTCATCTGTGTAGGTAGTAATCATAGTAAGACATTTAACTTTATTCCAACACAAAGTAACACAGAGATCAAATTTTCAGAGACCACTGCCGCCTTCAGTTCAGTTCAGTTCAGTTCATCCTTCAATCAGGTGACATGATGTACTGCCTCCACAAGTTCCTGTCGCGCCTTCATCAGGATAATTAATGACCAATGACTTCAATTTTATCTCTGTATAACTTTGTATTGGAATAAAATTCAACGTTTTACTATGTATTTTAACGCTGTTATTGTTTTTACTCCAGGTTTGTGAATGTATACTGGGTTAGGCAGCAGAGAAATTAAAAGTGAACTCATATTGATAGGTTGTACTAAATCTGTGTTACTGTCAACACATACAGGATACTTACTCAACTTTTTGTAGCAACGTAATTGTGCTAAAGGTTGTAATGAACACATCCTCATCTATGTTAAGTACATGTATATATAAGAGTGTGAAAACATGAACAGTCTATGAAACAAACCAACAAAAAATAATCTTACACTTCTCATTTTCCTCACAGACCCAGAGGGCAAAGTGAGGAGAGACATAGTGAACATGAACGGCAACCCCAGCTACCGCTACTACTACCCAGACCCCATTCAAGGTAAGCATATCTCAACACAATTTCATCATGATAAAACTAGATCCAACACAAAGAAGTTCTTTCACATAGAGCTGTCACTCATTTTAACCAGTCACTCTTGTCTTCCTAAGTAGACTGACTCAGTGAGCCCTCTACTTTCATGTTATCCTCTTTCTTGATATTTACTTTAAAAGAGAAATAAGAAAATTTAATACCTTTTTGTGGAAGGATAGCTCATTTCCTAGAGGTAATAAGTAGTTGTTGTTGCCTTAAACAAATTAAAACTAGAGGTCGGAGATCTCATGTCTTCGTCAGAGGTACATCGTTCTAGAGAAATTAACATGCGTATTCTTCAATCTTTTTAATAATCAATTTGGTCTAAAGAACAAAAGAATCTCTGTACTATTTTTATGGTACAGAACACCCTGAAACGGTTTGCCGCAGATTATACAGATGCGTCGTCACCCGTGTTACGCCCCCCCCCCCCC